GCTGAAGAGTCAATGAGTCGATGCAATCAGCTGGTTTTCCTTAGATAGAAAACTTTGAATCAATCTGACTGGATGATCTGGCTGATCTGGATCTATAAAGTGACCTGAGATGACATGATGTGAATTGGAGCTATAGAAATAAACTGAATAGAGAACAAAGAACACATAAAAACTGTCCTGTAAAAAAGAAAAATCTACAAAAAAGAATAATTTACAAAAAAGAAAAATTTAGACTCTGATTTTCCTCAACTTCTCCTTCTAAAGAAGCTTTGCCTAAAGGATGCAATGAACATGATAAAAACATTTCTAACATTATTTTCCATCTATATTTCTGTTTAGATTGTTTTTTTTTTTGATAAAGCTTTGATATAACATGTTTTGAATTGGAGTTATAGAAATAAACTGAATAGAATTGAAAAAAAGCTTTTTATTCATATCCTAAACCAAACTGTTTGTTCTGGAATGATTTGTAAAAAGCAGCTTTATTTATAGAGATTAAATTACACAGCAATGTTCATAAAATCCTAATCCAAACCAGGACACATTGTTTTCTTACAACCTTTTAACCTTTTTTTACTTCTAAAAATTTAACTCATTGAATTTTCAAATCCATAAAAAAAGTTTTTTAAAGTGAGTAAAGTTTATAATCTCTCAGCACCAAAACAGGAATAAACTTCGGAGGCCATTTTTTCTTCCTGCCCCCATGGCAGAACTCCAGACCTGCGTTGCGTGAGCTGCTTAGATCACGGCTGATGGTGGATGAGCTCACTAAAGTGCTCTGACCCATTTAGCAGCTGAATAATGTAAAAGGAAACAAACGTTCCAATAAAGTCGCGCCGTAGCTCTCATATCACATCTCTCTCCTCTGCCTCACAGAGTCAACATCCAGGGTTTTGTGTTCATACAGATAAATTCCCTATGGTGCACTTTATGCTGACAGCATCAAAAAAGACTCGATGTTTGCAGAAAGCTTAGGAAAATGTAGGTCGAGGTTCACAGTTTACATTTCAATATTTACCCTCATAATAAAGAATAAAGCTGGGATTAAAGAACAGGTTAGTTTAAACCATCCAAATGATGCAGACTCATTGTCTTATCTGTTCCTTCCATTTCCTTCCTGCTTGGCGCTCCACAGGTGAAACAGGCATCAGGTGTCGCTCTGAAAGCTGAGCTCCACTGATGCCTTATTAATGACCCACATTAATTCCAATCAGTTCGCAGCCGTGTGAGCGAGCGCAAAAAGAGCCACTCAGCCAGCAGATGGGGCGATCTGCAGAAGAGTCAATGATAAAACACGGCGCCCTGGCAGGTGACCAAAATCCTCCATGAGTCTATCAGACGATCATTTAAAGCCACTTTACACCCAGCAGCTTGATGTTCCACCTTAAACAATCAAAACCGACTAAAACTGAGGAATTAATTCTTCTCCAGTTTGATTTATGAAGAAAATTCCTTTTATTTAGGAACAAACAGCAAAACTAGGAAACATGAAATGTAATTTCTCCTGTTCTTAGGATAATTTTTTTTATTGACTTTAGTATTAATTTTAGTGTTAATTGTTGATAGTCTTCAGATCTTATAAAGTGTTAAAGTGACGGACAGAATTCAGAGCTCATCGTTCTGTTTTCCATCTTAATAAATCTAATCTGATCAAAAGGAGAAAAACTACTTGTTGAAATTAAAAAAGCTTATTTTATAGTATAAATGTGATTGAAGATCAGCTTTGATGATGATCCGCCATAACCTTATAAAAAGACTTAACGTTTAATTTGATCTTTGATTTTTTTTTTTGTAAAGCTTTGACCTTAAAATGTGACTAATTCTAGTTTTTTCCTCAAACACTTTAGAATAAGATGATATAAAAAACTAAACTTTTTCTTGACTTTCATGAATGATAATGATGTATATTAATAGGAGCAGCGGTGATGTCACACCTGAGAAGATGGGGTAAAATAGGATATAAAAAAATTTAAGGACAAAAAAATATTAAAAAATGAACTTTTAGCATCTTATCTTAAAGGTAGACTATTCAGCCGGTGTTGATTTTCCAGCGAGGCTCCCCCTAGAGGGCGAAAGTAAAAGCACACTGTGGTAAATATGCTCAGCTGTTCTCCTGGTTTCTCCGTCACGCCAGGCGCGGTTGTTTTGAGCTTAGCAGACAGGCGAACGCCAC